TAGTCGAAAGGGGCTTCCTAAGAATTTTTGTAATTCAGAATAGTATATTAAATGTTTGGCACTGCTATATTTATTTCATGTTTTGTAAAACTTACAAATTTTTTATTAACAAACTCTATGATCTGAAAGTGAGTAGTGGCAATACTTTTCAAAATAAAGCAGATTTTTATCTCCAGCATGTGAGCCTCTAGGAAAAATTATGCCAAAAATTAGCGTCTTCAGAGTTTTTAATTAATATCTTCTCTGATTAAAATTGTACAGAGCTGAGAATTGTTGAAGATGCTTCTCACAAATTGTAGGAATCTGTAGGCACCTCTCTCGAAACTCAATTTCTCCGCCATTCCAGGAGGAGATAATGCCACAAATAAACAAACAAACAAGCAGACAGACATGCACAGATTTTAATAGTATGGATTCTAAAATAATAACTGTAGAAAGTATAAGAAATTTGTAAAAGAGAAAGTTGTCAAACAGTTAAAAGCAAAGTAGCCTAGGCCAAATGTTATAAATATTGTAACAGTCATATTGAACTATTTTTGCTCTCATCAAGGGGATGGACAAAAATAATTCAATTTCCTGTGCTAATTAATTGGTATGACAGATCGTCTTTTCTGATACTATGCAATTTTCAAACTGAAAAAACTTAAAAGCTATTCATTCAAAACCATAGCATAATACCATCCCCCATATTCATCTTAACTAAAATATAACATAAATAAAGCACTTTCTTTGCAAGGCAGAGTATCAGTTAACAAAGTGTAATTAAAAATACAGCTAGTTAAGCTCAAGCCACAAAACAAAAAGAGGAAGAAAACTTAATTTACCCCTACCAATGTCCTAGTTGAAATGGAAGCACTAGTTGAAAATGCAATTCTGTCAAGTGTAGACAGAGTTTAAGTAGGTTAAAATTAAGATGGTGGATGATATTTAACCACTTCACTGTCCTACAAAACTTAAGTATTTGCTTCTTTTCTTTCTCAAATTTTACATGTGAAACTATCCTTAGAAATATTTCTTGCCCCCTTTCAGCAGCTGTCAAGACCTACTTAGAAAATTGGCTGTTTTTCTGCTCACCCAGGAGAAAAATATTTTTATGTTCCTGTGGGTTTTGTATGAAAATTAACAAAGATGATCCCCTAAATGCATTTTGTTAAAGGAGAAGTTCCATTGCATTATGAGCTGAAGGAATCCTAGTGCATTCCTGTTTCCTGTCTTTGCAAGTTAACTTACACCTTATTCAATCCCGCCGTTGCAGAGAGCAGATTCCAATTAAACTATCAATCACATCTTTTTAATTTTTACTTATTCTAAGGTGTTTAAAAAACACAAATCATCCAATCTATCTTGGGGGTAATGGTCCGGGCCATATTTAAGTCTGATAAATGTCTGCCATTGCTATTGTCTGAAAGCAAATGAACAAGTCTTTTCGTGGGGCAAAAAGTGAAGTGATTGAAGCAGAAATTAAAAAAGTAAGGTAAGCAGGAAGAGGAAAAATAGAAGAAAAAAGCTGAAATCTTCACCTAGAAGTAGCTGCTTTGAGTCTTGATTATTAGTAACAGAAATCAGATACCAGAGTGGAAAATTATATCCAAGATTTCTGCATTTTTTAAGTTATAAAAATTACACATCCACATATGCATCCACAACTTATTTTAATTCTAAACATATTAAAAAACTTGGCATTAATTACATCCTCTAAACCAAAATTAAAAATGAAGCCTTTAAATCCTGAGGAAAGTTAACTGTGGATATGTAATTTTTGTTAATAAAAAAAATTAAATTTTGTGTATTTGTAATTTTTCACTTTGATAGCCAGATTTGTTAATGACAAGGCCAACTTTGTTGAAGCATGAAGGTGGCCATTTTTAGGTGAGGATTTCACCTTTTCTCTTCTAATTTTTCTTTTCCCACATAATTTGCTGCTACCATAAATTTTTATTTCTGCAACTTTTGCTTTAAATATTACCCACCATCTTAATTTTAACTTATATGTATTTTGCCTCCCTTAATTAAAAACTTCTCTGTGATTCACTCTTTGCTTATAACCACTCCTTCTGTTCCTTCTCTTTCCAGTGTGTGAAATGTACAAAAAATATAAACTTTCTACACTGGGGAAGATACCATAATTGTATTTTTTTTTTTCCCTTTTGCTTCCATTTCAGTTAGGACATCGGTAATGGTAAATTACATTTTCTACCTCTTTTTGTTTGGTGAAGTGACCTTAACTAGCTGAATTTTTAACTGTACGTAATTTGATTAGATATATTTTTGAGTCTTTTAAACCTCAAACTGACATATTTATTTGATTTGATTTGATTTTAATTGTGCTTACATGCTTTGCATTTTTTCATCATTATTTAATGTTTTTCAACTACATTTTGGAATTTACTGATACTCCACATTTTGAAGAAAGTGCTTTGTTTTATTAATTAGTTTTTTTTTCCTTTTGTTTTATTTTTTGCTGTTTCAGATTGATATAGGAGATGTTGCTATGCAATTGTTTTGAATTAATCGCATTTACGCTTTTTTTGTTAGAAAACTGCATAGTATCAGAAATGTTGATTTGTCTTACCAATTAGTTTGAATGGAAAAATGAATTATTTTTGGTGATCCCCCTGATGAGAGGAAAAATAATTCAATCTGAATGTTGTAATATTTTGCCTATTTGGCCTAGGCTATTGCACTTTTGCTTTAGTTCTTATATTTTCTCTTTTACTGGTTCTCAGCTTTTTCTTTTGCATGTTCAGTCATAATTTTAGCATTTAATATAATTGTTTACAATGTATATATTTTAATAGATTTTCAAAGGATATCTGTATTCTTAATTTAGCTGTATAAATTGATAATTATGTGTTTTATTGTTAATCAAGGTATCCTATTTAAAATTTGAATTGGCTGTTTAATGATGGATGTGAAAACAGCATGCCAACTTTAAACAAAATCTATTTAATTAAAGCAATATCTTTTATGCGTTTGGAGAATATGGTACCTCTCTGTGTTCTTCAAAGGTCAAAATCATTTTGCATCATGCAGTCAAATTTTGTATTTAAGGTGATATAATTTGCAAAAACTTCATGGATCCCTGAAGAAAGGAAATTTGTCAGATTCTCTAAAAGGCATAGGATATTTTTCTGAAATTCATGTGAATCCAAAGTGAATTTTTGCATAATTTTAATAGCTGCCTACCTAATGAAATTTCGGTACTTTCTTGTTATAGTGGCTTCCAAGATTGAGCTAATAAATTGAGATATCTCGCCAAAATCTCACCACATGTTCTTATACTTCGCAACATGTTACATTTTTGCTTTCGCCGTGTATTCTTAGATTAGTATCATGTTTCGTTTTTGTTTAAGGGTTTTGAATTTGCAGTATTTTTTTTTTCTTTTGAGTATGCAGTAAAGAATTTTTAATTTACCAAATGAAGAGGTGGATGCCATATCATTTATTAGGAAAGAGGTCTCTTACCTGATGAGTGAGTATACAAAAATGGCCACAACATGAAACTATATGTTAACAATGAAACCATTTGGAGATGCAGTGTTAAAAATCATAAAAGAAAGAAGGGCCTCTTTGTTGGAAATTGGTTCAGTGCTTCAAGAGTATTCCTTACTGTGTATGCATTCTTGGGCAGAGGAGTTGACATGCATCTAACGGTAGAACAAGAAGCTTAATCTGTGTGAAAATGCTGCAATTGATTGGAGCAATTACATGCAGGGAATATGTTCCCTACATCTGATACAAAGATTCCATGGAATGAGGTCCCAATAAAATAGTTGAGATTGATGAAAGTTTGTTTGCCCGACCTAAAAGCAACTGTGGCAGAGTACTCCCACAACAGTGGATATTTTAGGAATATGCCGAGAAGATGGCGAGCGCTTTGTCATTCGGATCTCAAATAGAGTTGTTGGTACATTTATGTAGAAAATTATTCAACATGCATAAGATGGATCAACTATCTATTCAGACTGCTGGATATGAAATGGAGCAACTTGAAAAAGCTGGTTCTATCACTTTACTGTGAACCATAAGTACCAGTACTGTAGATCCAACAATAAGTGTTCACATCCAAAATGTAGAAAGAGTGTGTGGTTAAGCCAAGTGGAGTAATAAAAAACAATGGGGCATGGCTCGTTGTTTATGTGGAGAAAGTACATGAGAAAAATTGTTTTGGATGAATTGCTGAAAGCAGTTTTAGAAATATGGCTTTGTCATAAGGATTATTAAAATATTCTTAAGAAACAACATGTGAGTATTATTCTTATTATTGAATACTCTGTCATTTATTTTTATGTTCGTGCTTCGCAAGCTGGCAAGATACCTCAGTTGATTAGTGATTCAGTCTTAGGGGGCCACTGTAACAAGGAAGTAGTGAAATTTCATTTTATTTTTTAATTGAAAGATAATTTTTCTTAAAAATAACATTATGTTCAATAGGAAAATAATATTTGAATTTTGGATGCATATGCATGTATAGTATTACATTTTTCATGAAGTTACAAAATCCTTCACTTAGTCAACAGATATAAAATATATTGCTAAAAAATTATTTTTAATTCTTATTTTGTCATTATATGGTCTTGACCTAAAAATATAATTTTTTTAATATGAAATATCTATGAATATATTTTTTATTCTTCACTTTTATACATATATCTATTCAGTCAGCTTTTTAGTTTCATATGCAATATGAACTCCTCTCAATATTTGTATTTTTAGTCCCAAAATTTTTTTATTTGAATTATTGTTATTATTAATAATAATCAGATGTAACTTTCAAAACATTAACACCAGAATTTCTTACATCTTTGTCATTGACAGAAAGGGAAGAACTCTGAAATAATAAAATTATATATTTATTATTTTAATATTATTATGTTGTTAATTATAATACTAACTTTGGCATTTATTTATGGCTGATTAATACAATGCAATTGCAACTACCAGTCCTTTCTGCCCCCTCTTTTCTGTTTTACTTGTGTTATTTTTATCTCTTTAAACAGACAAACTGAAAGAAGAACATGTCATGTTTGAAACTAATATTAAGGAAGCCCAGCAAAAAGTAGACAGTTTAGAAAAGGAAATAACTTGTCATCAAACTGAGAGAGATAACTGGATGCAAAAATATGAAACCTTGCATGAAAGTTTTAATAATGTGAGTTGTTATTTTTTAATTATATTATTTTAGAGAATTTTCTGTAGCAGTAATAAAAAATAGCTGATGTATTAGCCAGATTTCCTGCATAATAAAATCTATGTGAAGGTGCTGTGTTCAAAACAGGCTTCAGCTTTTTATCTTTTACTCTATTTATAGTTCAAAAGTATATTCCTCAATATGGCTTCCCCCCCCACACTCTGGTTCAGAAAATTGCAGTCTTCACATTTCATCTGAAACAGTTAACTATTCAGTAATATCTTTTGACTGCATGTAAAAATAGATGAAATTGTCTTTGGTGCTGCTAAAATGCCTATTAGTATTGGAACCTCAGTATGTTATTGGGTTCTTACATGTAAAGCTATCAATAATTAGTAAAAATACAGAATGAGAGCTAAAGCATACAACAAGATACTTGGAATGCAGCAAACATTTTTATTTTTTAACATGACCCTCCGCTTATCTACATCAAGATTTTTATACAATCACTGTGTGAGGATCTTCTGCATTCAAGTCTAGGTTAGGGCTGCAGACACAAATGGGCCTCTTGCTGACTGTATTATCCATGAAACATGTGTAAGGCACAATTGCCTCCACCAAGAACTTAACTTAGAGCACCCGTTATGTTCATGCACTCTAATCCTCCATTCTCGTGTTAGCAAAGAAAATGTTATGTTTAATTTCATGTGTTATACACAGGGTAAAGCTGCTGCCTAGGAACCTGGTCTGTGACTGCAAATAAAGTGACTTCAACAGGATCAATAAAGTGGAAATGGAAATTATTTGTGATTAAGTTGGGGCTGTGTGAAGATTGCTGAAGAAACTGCCACACGAACTCCACAAGAAACTCATGGGTTGACTGCGCCTCATGATACCGTACACTATTATCGATGGAATATATATGTTATATTCATTAGGCCCGAGTTCTTTCAGTGAACTGTTCTAACATTGATCAATGCAGCAACATTACATTATGATGCATCAGTCACATTTTCTCCTTGCCTCAGGAAGTGAGGCAAGGAGTTCATCTTTGCCTTAGGAAGACTATCAGCCACAAAAGATGTATCATATCCAAGTGCTGTAGAATGGTAGACATTATCAAACTGCCTTGACAGCTCTCAATGATCAGTTGCATTGCTCACTGAGTTAGCATGAAATGTGATAATCTTGCTATGTTGTGACACTTTAAACTATTTATGTCTATTTTTTTATCCCAAAACAAGTACTAGTACCATATTTATTGACTTTTCATCATATTTAGTGACATCAGTTTTAGGAATTACTATTTTGGTTTGTAGGCTTTGATTCTAATCAAGTTTAAAAATATCTAAAATGTTTTTAGCTGGCATTTGACATAGTGAGATGCTTCTTAACAAGCTAATTAAATATCTACTAAAAATTTAATTCAGCATTAGGGAAGTTTCTTAAAGTTATTTTTGGCGAAAAAAATTGAAATTGCATAAATGATTTTATATAAGAATGAGTATCTTATGCCAAAGTTTTTGTGAAAGAAATGAGTCAGTTAAATCAGAAATCAGTATTATGTTATTTTCAGTTAAAACTATTATGTATACTCTAATAGAAAATGTAATCCCATTACCAAGAAGGAGTTGTGATAGATAAATGAAATTTGGGAGGTGTACTTGCACGTCTGAAAGATGACGTCTGTTCAGATTTTGTACTAGATGAATTAGTATGGCACTAGTATGCCTCTATAAACATGCAAATTGTGTTTGCTTTAAATGCAATGATGTAAACTTCTTGTGCGTTGTTTATCTTTTAGTCTGGGTGCTGTGAGTGAAATTTGAGTCAAGAATGCCCTTAAGGATACGAAGAAGGCAGCATCAGCAGTTTATTGAGTGTAAACAAGACTATGTAATAGGGCTATGAGAAGGTGGATTTTCTTTTTGTGATATTGCAGAAAGACTTAAAAGGAACCACTGTGCATGCAGATCGGTAGTGGTGTTTACAAGGAAAGTACTGTCTCTAGAAAGCCAGGCTGCAGCTGCTCATGTGCCACCACTCAAAGGGAGAACCATACTATTCGCCACATGTCTGTGGCACATCGCACTGCATCTGCAGCAGACATTCGAACTTTTGTTCGAACTGGAGGGACACAGCAAATTGTAACAAATTAATTATTTGAAGGACAGCTCAGAGCCAAATGTTTTGTAGCAGCTATACCACTAACTCCAAATCACTGCCATCTGTAACTTCACAGGTGTTAATCTAGAGTTTCTTGGAAACAGTGGTGTAACTAGGTGGAAAAAAGGGTGGACATCTATCCCTGAGCACAGCATCCAGGGGTACTAAATTGTTATGAAATTTTAAAATTAAATATTTTTTATTCTTGTCAGACCAGAGGGGTCATAAAATCTTCAGTTGTTCCTGGGTCTGTGATTGGAAGGTGGAATAAAGAACTGTTGTCTTCTCAGATGAGAGTTATTGATGTCATTTCTTGATGCCAGTGATGGCCATAATTTAGTTAGAAGGAAGCCAGATGAGAATTTAGAACCAAGCTATCTGCGACGTAGACATATTGGTTCCAAGACCAATATGGACCATTCTGATTTGATTTACCAAGTGCAACAGGCATGGAACTCTATCCCATAAAATAATATACATCACCTGGATGACACAATGCACACAGATTTACATGCTTGCATTCAACATCATCACAGCTACAGTGGTTATTAATGTGCCACCATTCGCATTTGAAATGCCTTTTCTTGCACATACTGTAACCTGTGACGATGAAACATGGATCAAATAAATATGTTACCTAGAAAAATGCTTTCCAACATTACTTTCCTTTAAATTGATTTCTTATTGTTGTTGGGATTTCGTTTTCCATCAGTATATTTGTAAGGTATTTTCATTAAAGCTGTAGATCAGGCACGTCAAACTCACTACCTCATGTGGGCTAAATTGTCATCATTTTACGACAGTGCAGGCCACAAAAAAGGGAGCCATTTTCATGCTTAATGATGTATTTGAAAAGTAAGTGAAAAAATGCATAAAATCCTACCCAATACTGTAATTTTTTATAAATGCAATGCACATAAATCCTGGTAGTACAAGGATACTTATTGTTTCTTTTTTCTCTGTGGTTCATACTGATATATACTGCTCAAAATAGGAATTATGTAAAACATTTAGAGCTTCCTGGAAACCACAGAAGCAGGTGTTTGTAAAATTTTGGGGTACCTATTTCACTGAACTTTTACTTTTCAGTTGAGTTATACTGAATTTCTGTTAATACCATCTGTAAAAGGATAGTAGTCTCCCTAGAGTAGTCTCCCTTTAGACAGATCTCCCTAGAGTCTGTTAAAAAATATTTTTGTTTAGAGTTCATCTCAGAAATGTTTTTTAACACCCAAACTTGTATATATACATATATGCCTTGATATGGGTATAATTCCAGTTTTTAATAATATGCTATAATTATGTATTTTTTGTTATTTTCTTGGGTTAAGCCGAGGGCTATAGAAAAATGAGTCAAAGGCTATGTGTTTGGCATGCATGCTGTAAACGTAAGCTACTTAGTTGCTTTACTTGTTTTTGACCTTTATATATGGAAACAAAAAATTCAAGTTAATTCAAATTGCAATCTCAATATTTCAAAGAAGAATTTATTATTTAACATTTCAAAAAAATTAACATTAAAAGAGTGTAAAGCACCATAAGAATTTAAAAAACATAATATTCTTTGCCAGTTGCATAACATAAGCATAAGAAAAAGCTTTCACTTATTACAGCAGAGTTGCAAATGTGCATAAAAAGCATCTGTTTTATATATTGTAAATTAAATATATCAGTTAGATATATTATTTTATTAAAGATGCACAGTAAGACTGTATACATATAAGCTATTAGATTTAAATGCTAAAATAGACAATAATAATTACCCTTCTTAATTGTGAAGGTGTAAGAAAAATGTTAATTTAAATTTTGATTAACTTCTAAACAGAGCCGATCTTAGAGAATGAAGTGCATATTCATATTCAAGGGGGGGGATTTTGTAAGAAAATGTTATTTCATTTTTTTATGTCAGTTATGACAAATCATCAAAATGCAAACAAAAAATCGTTTATAGGTATAAAAAAATGTAACATGAATTTTGTTGTGACTTCTAAAGTTAGACCTTTGATAATAAAATGGATATTGTAGTTCAGGAGGGGGGGAAAAAAAAAAAAGCTTCTTTCATTTCTTTAATATTAAGAAAAAGAAAATTTGTAGAATAGTGTTACTGGTTTTAAATCAGTTCAAAGTTTGTATAGTCATTAAAAGTACTTAGCTCTTAGGTCTTTTAGAAATGGTTTTTGGTCCTTGAAATTCCTTGTAATTTCAGCCAAAACCGACAAAAGGACCTAAATTTTACTCATGTAACACTTCTGTCTATTTTTTATGACTGCAATTTTGAGTGTGAATTAACATTTTGGAGTGTGATGCATTGACAAATATGTATTTGATGGGTTAATGTATGAATTCCTCCTACTTCTTATACACAAGTTTTAGGCATGATTGAAACGTTTTATATATATATATATATATATATATATATATATATTGTTCTGTTCATATGGGTTCATAGTGGATTGAATGCACAAGTTGATAAAAAGGTAATAAAATTTATTCTTATTCCAAGAAATAAAACAAAATGCTAAAATTTCCTCAGAAATATTCATACAATATCGCAATATCTCACAGTGGTTATATTTTGAACTACTAAAATGTAAATAGAACTCAATTCAAAATCACAAAGAAAGCTTATCTCATCCCACCGCAAATTCACTACAATTCATAACAGCACTAAATAAACAACTGAACTAAGATGTTATAATCTGGCTTTTGTAAGCTTTTTAATCAAGCACGAGAACATTCTGGTATTTTCTCGATTTTTCTGGATAACAAAAGAGTACAATTACAAGATATCTATTTATTAAAATGTTAAATGCATGTGTTCCTGTATTTTAATTTTTCCACATCAAATAAGTCTCGTGCTGCATTGCAGGGAAATATAAAACAATTTTAATTGAAAATTCTACTAAAAATAGCTAAATAAATTCAAAAACCATAACTATCTCTATATATATTTCTTTTTTCACAAATGAAGACTTTACAGAATATTAAACTCAAGGCAGCTTTTCTCTTTTTGGAAGCCCAACAGTGGCCGAGCAGTTGAATTGCTCAACTTTGGTAGTTCGGTCCAGGTTCAAATCTCAGGCACTGGGCTGGTTTTGTAGGTGTTTTCATGGTTTTCACTATGTGTAACGTGTATATGAGCCAATTTCCCATGGAAAGTCCTCCAGAAAGCTCTTGAGCAGATAGCCCTCAAGTGCTTCACCATAAAAAAAAATTAAAAAAAAAAAACTTTTTGGGATATGAGTTATTTTATTATGTGGTGCTAAATGTGGTAACTTATCAACATTTTGGTAATTTCAAGATCAATTTGTATACTAAATTTTTTATTAAGAGATTGAACATTTTGGCAATTTTTTACATTGCATAATAACATTGATAAATATCATAAAAATAATGATATATTAAAGAAATTTAAGAAATAACATTCAAATAGAAAGTTTTTATTTTCTCTTTGATAACTTTGGAATATTTTGATTCTGAAAAATAAATAAAATAATAAATTCTATAAAACAGAATTTCTGAAACACTCCTTAGTAATAGTAAAAAATGTTACTGCTTTGTAGTTGTTTTAGAATATTTAAATGTGTATCAGTTTTTTTTTGAAAATTCACTTCTCTTCGCTGATTTCCTCCCCGCTAATAAAAATTTACTCCCTCCTTTTTGCTCTTACAGAGTTGATAGGGATTAATTTTCTTTTTCAAATTTTATATCTTGCAACTTGGAAGTTCCTAGCAGCAAGATTTACATATTATCACTTGAAGGGATGATTTATAGACCTACAATATTCTAGAAAAATGTGACAAAACGAGAAGTGTCTTCATGGTATTAACATGTAATGGAAATGTTTTATAGGAAATTTTTGATGAATTTCTTATCTTTTGGACAATTTTTGGAAGAATAGTGGAAACAAAATTAGTTTAATTTTCTCCTTTTGATCCTAGAAGTCTTCTTGTCTTTCCATTAGATACACACATGGAAGCAATTGAACCATTGAAGAAAGCAAAGTAATTGAAAACTCACAGTTTATTAGAAGATTCATCATATATGTGTCAGTGCACCACATATACCTCAGTGCTTCTCTTAAATTATTAAAAATTTTGCCCTGACTTTTGTTGCTCTATGCTTCACTCAATTCTAAAAATTCTGCCACACTGGCTCTTAGCTTTGATATCATTTCATATTTATTCTCAATACTCATATTATTAAAGATATTAGCAGTTTTTTCTATACCTTCTAAGTATGAGCGATTCTTTAGAATAACAGGAATTTAATTAAATCTGAAAATTCTAAAATGAAGAGGAAATTCATTGAAAAAAATTTGATTTTATGAAGAGAGAGAAAATTGTTGTTCAAACATACATTGTTGAAACATTAACAAATTAGAGATAAAGCAAAGGCTAGTGAGAACATTGATTTGTTTATTGAATTAAATAAACTTAGAAAAGATGTTAAAGAGGACGAAGTTGATGTAAATTAGCTAACATCTGGAAAGTTTTCAAATTAAAAAGATACATAAGCATTTTGCTACTACAAAACATAAATGTTTTTCATTGTAACTGAAAACAAAATACTACCTTCAAAGGGTTAAAAATATTTTTAATATATATTTTACATGCTTTAAATGCTTAATTTTGTTCATTTTTAGTAATTCAGAACATGCATTGAATGATTTTTCTTTTCCTCTTTTTCTTTTTCTTTCTTTCTTTCTTTCTTTTCTTTTCTTTTTTTTTTTTTAGTTAAAATTTATATTCTTCTATTAATATACATACTTTGTGGTTAGCAGTATGATTTAATGCAAATTATGAATAACATTGCATGACATAACAACACATTGGTAACATCTGTGCTTTTGTTTCATGTAACCTTAAATGAATCTCAGTAAACCATTTTTGCTTTTATGAACAAGGATATAAGTTAACTATATATATATATGCAATTTTTTTTCATTTAAAAAATTAATATTTGGCACCTCCCTTTTATGGCACAATGAGCAGTGGATTATTTTATAGGATCTTACCATCATTAAAAGTATGTATTAATGTATATGATGTGGTACTTTAATTGAAAATGGATAAGCAATGATGTTGGAATGTGAAAATGTTTTACAAGAGAATGTCCATTTGAAAAAGAATGTAGTTTTGAAGGATGTAGAGTCATATTTGTGACTGCATTCCAGTTCATTTACAGCTGGTCAAGAGAATTAACATTAAGAAAAGAGCAGCTGGTTACAGCCAACAAAATAGCAATATATTGGACTAATTAACCTGTGAGAAGTTTGTATTTATAGCATTCTAAACACAGCTTCTGGTAACATCAGAAGGCGTAACAAAATAGTAGAAATTGACTTCAGCCTTTTTACAAAGTGCAAGAATGAAACAGGTAGAAAACTGATTGTTTATTAAACAAAGAAGTGTCAGTTCTTTCATAATCACACAGGAGAAATTCTGGCAACTTTTGCAGGATCTCCGCCAACTTTCATGTTTCGATAGTAATCAAATTTTATGGTCAAATACATTAGTACCATTTTCAGATATATTTTTTTATTTGAATTGGAATGTTAATCACCCCATGCACAGATAGTGGAATAATTATGATAAATCATAATGAGATTATCTTTCTTAATACGGAGAATGACTTATAAAAATTTTCCAAGAGAACTTGGCTCATAACTATACATGAGGAAATTCTTGTGTGCAATTACAGGCTTAGTTTATATAGAAAGTATATAAAGTAGTATTATCATTTCAATCTCTGTGATCTTTATGATCATGGATTTTTTTATATATTTATTCTTAATATATCTTTATTGGAGCATTGAAAGCATATAATATATGTATTCACGTTTAGATCAGAATGTATATCATCATCATTTTTGATAAGTTAAAAATATTTCATAGCATAAATAAAAAGTAAATGCAGTGGCAACTTCCTGATTTTTTTTAAATTTGAAATTTGTATTATTGTTATAAATGATGCTTATTATTATACTTATTTGATTATAACTTCTGTAAAGTTTAATTCTAGGTCTAGTGAAATATATCAAGTCGCTTTTAATATATATTTCGTATAGTTGTATTATTTTTAATGTATGCTTGCATTGTAAGTTTTTTTTTAAATACTTTTTAAGCTGAAGGAGAGCTATGCTGCTTTAAGTGAGAAGAATGCTGAAGCTCAGAAACATATGGATTCAATTATTATTTCCAATGGAGAAATGGAAAATGATTATGTGAGTGCAAAAATTGTAGTATTTAGTGCAATATAGTAAACAGATGATTTTTAATTGGTCACGCCTATATGATAAAGATTAATTTTAATATTTTATTAGCAAATATACAAATTAATACAATTATATATGTTCATAAGAGTAATTACTGATTTGAAGAAATGTACAGTCAATTTAGAAATGACTGAGATTAAAGTTGGATATAGTTATATTCTCTTATGTGTATATTATACTATGTTTTGAATTCAAAATGAAAAAAAGTCAATTTTATAAATCTTACACAAGACCATCTGATAAAAAGAAATCTCAATGCCTTTTTCTTTATAGCATTCCTTCAACAAACTTGAATTATGTGGTTATTGTTCTCAGGAATAATTTCATAATATACTATTAGTGCTGAAGAAATAAATTTGTGTGTAAATAAGCCCTACTCCTGTTTAAAAAAGTGTCATTTCTGTTGTTTAAGGTAGTGTTATAATGCCACATACTGAATTTAATAATAAAAGATTTACAGCTTTTGTACATATTGACATTTTAATATTTGAAAGTCAGTAAACTCCTGATTAATTGAAGTAATATAAAGGACATTCCCTGCAATTAACAATAAATCATTGCTAATCTAACAGTACTTAAGAAAACAACAGAAGAAAGGAATAATCCATATTATAATCAACAGAAAAAATGCTATTAACAATTTACCTATATTTTTAATCACCTTATATTTGATTATAAGTTCATTTGATTTTGTAAATTAAATCAGAAATTAGAATAAAAGCATACATCAAAAGAGATTTATTACCCTATATATTGTACTATTTTGATTTATTACCCTATATATTGTACGTCAAAATTTCTTTATATTTTATCACCCATTTTATATTTTCAAGTCCTCGATTTGTAATTTTTACCTTTAGTTTTTACAAAATAGCTTTTACTACTTTAATATTGTTTCTAATTGTGACATGATTTTACATTTTGCTAAGGAAAACATTGAGATCTAAAAAAGACCTAAATCAGGCCCATTAAGCAGTAGAACTACCACCATACTACCTGAAATAACTTTAAATAGAATAAACAACTAAAATATGAACTTAAAGTCTAGGAACTGGTGAGATTTACCAGCTACACCAAAAAAAGCACATTATTACATATTTTGTAAAATATAATGCATGTTACTTACATGCATAGAAATATGTTTCTTACATATACAAAAAAATGAAATAACTGAATATCATAAACATCCTAGTTTTCCTTAAAACAGACAGAGAAATTTTAAACACAATCAATATATAAATTCATTTCATTTACAGATACTTATTTTATTAAATTTGACAATTTCAATTTAGTCACTGTATTTTTACTTAGATCCTTTAGAGTATTAAATTTAGCAGTATCTGGAATAAATCTTAGAACAATATTTTTCATGGAAGAGCATCTAAACAATAAGTGCTCAACATCGACATTACTCATACCACATGGACAGGCACAATTTTTTATCGAAAACCTATTATAATAAAAGGGAAAGTGTCCATGATTAGTTTAAGCTTGGTTTAGACACTTGTCACCTAGGCATCTTCTCTTACTTACAGTTGAGATTAAATTATATGCAAATCTTCCTTTAGAATCTGGGTCGTTCCACTTTGCTGCCATAGAGTCAAACTTTTTCTTTTCAACAAGGATTTCAAAATGTGAAAGGAAGTCTTTACTTCAAAATCAATAATTTGATTTTCAGTGGCAGCCTTTGCCAATCCATCCGCTAACTCGTTACCAATGGTACCAATATGACTCTTCATCCAAAAGAGTAAAATATCTCTGAAAGCTCTAAGAAAAATTAGCATGTCTTTATCTGTTCAATTAGATCGTTACTTGGACAAACATCTGTAATTGAATCAGTTGCACTTTCGCAGTCACTATAGATTTCTACAGGATCTATCGCAGAATTAGAAATAAGCCAATATAAGGCCTCTTGCAGGGCCACTAACTCTGCCTGATAGACAGAGGCATTGTCAGAAAGTCTATATTTCCTTTTGTAAGCTTAGTTTCTCATCTGAGAACACACAAAAGACTGCACTCACTTGACTATTAATTTAGATCCATCTGTATAAACCGTGTCACATTGGGGAGGCCTTTATGCCAATTCAACCATTTCAATAAAGCTGGATGAATGTCTAAACCTTTCTCAAAGTCAAAATATCTAGCTGAGAACATCTCACTGAAACAATTGACAGTTTTATTACCAGCTTTTAATTTAAAGATAAAATATTCTTTTTCCACTAAAATATCGATCGGAGGACATCCAGCCAAAATCTGAAGAGCTACTGTGGAAACAGTTCTAAAACACTTTGTAATTCCCAATAAAGCAATTCTTTGAATTTGCAAAATTTTGTTATGCATTCAGACCGTTCCAGTCCACCATGTGCCATATGCATACAAGATTCTCTCAATAGCTCTTTTATATAAACTCTTAAGAACTTTATCTTAGAGATTCATTTTATTAAGTCTGTTAAGAATATCGGTGCATTTGATCTTTATTTGATCTAGGTGAAATATAAAAGTGAGCTTTTCATCGATCGTAATGCCCAAATATTTGATTGATTGTCTTAGAAACTCTAACTTGGTTGTCCATACAATTTGCACCTAGGATATATTGATCTAGTATTAGTTTTGGCAATACCCAAAAGAAAGCTCTTCTTTGGATCAAATTTGAGTTTAACATGGAAAGTGACATGGAAAGCAATTAACACTTAAGATGGAAATTCATCAACTCTAATTCTTGAGTGGCGAAACTTGAAGCTTTATCAATAGTATGGCGACAATAGTGTGGCAAATAAAACAAAATCATCGGCATAAGCTTGTATACTAACATTTTGTGGTAAGGGTATGTTTAAAGCTATATTGGCAATAATATTCTTCAATAGTGGACCAGATATTGAGCCTTGGGACAACCCCTTTGGTAATTTCTGTGATGCTACTTATTACCATCATATAAGGAAACTTTTCTTTCATTCAGAATTTGGTTTGGTTTATTAATTTATGGCAAAGCACTCGAGAGCTATCTGCCTTAAGGGAGGTAGGCCTTCATGGAGGACTTTTTAAGGGAAACTGGCTCATATACATGTTACACAAGGGGGAAACCACGAGAACACCCACGCAGCCAGCCCGTTCGTGGGATTCGAACCTCGGACCGAACTACTAGTGTTCAGCGACGTTACCGCTCGGCCATTGGTGTTCCTTTCATTCAGAAAATCACATATTAATAAGAAGATATTTCTTGTAGATAAAGACATGCTAATTAATAAGAAGATATTTCTTGTTATATTTTTTAATTCCTTTAATAAAATTGGCCACCAAACATTGTTGAAAGCACTCTTTACATCTAAGGATAAAATTGCAGTATGTTTACCATTCCTTCTATTTCAAAGGATGCCAGAAATTAAATTATCTGTAGCCTGGGTAGTACTTTTACCCCCGCATAAAACCAAACTGATTTTTATTTAACCCTTTGACGTGCGGTGGTCGCACTTTGAAACCACCAATTTTCAAATTTTTTTCCTCCTCTTCTTTCCGAAATTTTTGAGTGAAAATCGATTGGTTGCTGATCTTTTACCTCTAAATAACTCAAATTGACTGCAGAATCTTACATGTTTTAGGTCTTAGTATTTCAAATTGGATGCCTTTTAAAATTTGTTTTCAATGAGACAAAACAACTTCCTTTTATTAATATAAAAAACTTCAAATTTCAAAAGTTATTCATTGCACATCATAATTCCTATCATAAACAATAAAAAATAGCAATAATTAAACTGCATATATATAATAAAAAACTTCTTATATGTATGGCATTTACTTTGTGGTTTCAGAGGCACCGACCACTGCCCCACTAGAGCATTGTGTCACAATGCTCTAGAGGCTCGGTGGTCGCACACCTTGAAACCACTGCTCTTCACAATGGCATTTGCTTGCTTCTTCTCAAATAGGAAATGTTCATTTTTTTTACCCGGATATAGATAAGGGGTTTTGAAATCACAGAGTTATTTTATTACTAAGCCACACATGCACCTGCCCAGTAAAAAGGTCTTTCTTTTCCAGAGACTTTTCTGTGACCTCAACACACTTGCTCCCCAAGCTAGTGTTGTGATTTTATAAATTATTTCCTGTGGTTTAAATTGAATGTAAATATACTTTGTTATAATTAAAAATAAAAATCGCTTAAAGCTTTATTTAAATTAGAAATATTTTCTGAATATTTTGGGCCGAAATACGAATAAAATAAGTATGAATGGGAAACAAATGATCTGTACCAAAGCCAAAAAGACCAAGCCCATTCCCCATTAACATAAAAAAACACAAATTTCATGTGCCAGATGAAAAGAAACTAAATAACGCTGGACATATACCAGTTATACCAGGGAAATTTAGATCCAGGCAGTGTACATTTTGTAGCACAAGGAAGAAACCTCATAGAAAGTACATGTGTGAAACGTGCTATGTGGTCTATGCACGTACCAAAAAGACAAAACATGCTTTGAACAGTGTTGCAAAAATTTTTTTTTTCTTTGAAATTTAAAAAAAAAAAAAAAAAAAAAAAAAGAGGCAAGTCTTTTTTTTTTTTTTTTTTTTAATCTTTATTTTACTGAGTTTTTTAATCCATTTAGCCAAACGTCCTTATTATGTAGGTACTTCCACTGCTATAGAAAAATTGCATAAATGTTTGTATTTTAATTTTTTTCTGACGATTTACTTTGTAAAATAATGTAAAAAAATTATACATAATACAATTTTTGCATAATTTTTTTTAATTAGTAAATTTCGTCATTTATTGAAAACATGCACAGAGAAAGCTAAGTTTTTCCCCCTACTACTTCAGTATGTTTCAAAGTCCTAGACGCGCGGTGGTTTCACAGTGCGACCACCACCCACAGAACAATGGGCAAGAGTAAATTTTTTAAAATTCATATATTATTTGTCTCTATTATCATAATATTCAATTTCTATAGTTTTTA